TCAGTTATTACGATCATTTGTGGCAGAAATGCGTCAGATACACGCTCCACTTGACGAATTATTGAAGAAGAATAGCTCCTTCCACTGGACAAACAAATGTGAAGAAGCTTTCCAACGTGCCAAAGACATGCTCGCTTCGGGTTTACTTTTGATTCATTTTGACCCCAGCTTGGAAATAATAGTCGCTGCTGACGCATCGGACTATGGAATTGGAGCCGTTATTCTTCACAAGATGCCAGATGGTACAGAGAAGGCAATATGCCACGCTAGTAGAAGCCTCACTGCTGCAGAAAGAAACTATGGCCAGATTGAAAAGGAGGGACTTGCCTTGATATTCGCTGTTCGGAAATTCCATCGCTACATATATGGACGCCGATTCAAACTGTTCTTCATATTGACCAGACCTACACAGCAAACTGACTTCAAAGATGGAAGCTTATACTACTGAGGATATGACTTCACCCTCGAGTATCGAAGCACAACTGAATTTGGACAAGCAGATGCATTATCAAGACTCATTCCTCCACGGCCAGATCAAAGCGAAGATGTTGTGATTGCCAAAATTGAGCAAGACATTCTCGCTGTGTACGAAGCTACCTTACACGCGCTACCCGTGACCAGAGATTCGATTCAAGAAGAGTCCATTCCGAAGTCTCTACGTGGAACAGTGTTGAAACAGTTACACAGTGGACATCTGGAATGACAAGAATGAAGATGCTCGCCAGGGGATATGTTTACTGGACGAACATCAATCGTGACATCGAAGAAAATGTGCGCCACTGCCGCTACTGTCAAGAAACAGCAAAAATGCCAAGGAAGACAGCTATAAGCTCATGGGTGGCCAGAAGTCTTCGAAATGTCATCGTCGACAACGAACGCAACCCTAAGAGAACTCAGAATGTTGTTCGCCCGTTTCGGAAATCCGAGAATAATCGTGTCAGACAACGGGACGCAGTTTACGTCCAGAGAGTTCCAAGATTTTTGCGCCAAGGAAGGCATTCAACACGTCCGTTCACCGCCCTTCCACCCGCAATCAAATGGCCAAGCAGAGCGTTTTGTTGACACCTTGAAGAGAGCTCTACTCAAATCGAAAGAGGGAGAAAAGTTGGAGACACTCACAGAGTTTCTGAAGTGTTATCAAAGAGCACCGAGTACTTCGACTCCCGGACAAGTTATTCCTTGGACGTCAAATGGACAAATCTCACGCTGCTGAAGGAAACTGATGAGGTCGAAACACAATCACGCAGTTTGAAGACAGGGATGCAGTCCAAACCCCATCACAGAACGCCAGAAAAGTCGTATCGGATGGAAGAAACTGTATGGACAAAAGACTTCCGCCCTGGACAAATGGATACCAGAACCGTCATGGTTAGGTCATGTACGACGTACTGAAGGGAGATGCTCAGTTTTGGAGAAGAC